AAAATAATAATATGTTTTTACTTCATAGGGGTGTAAAAAAACGCTTCTCTAGTTGAACCGCTCATGTCCCATTCAGGTCAGCTGTGAGCAAAATCCTTTGCTTCGGATACGATTGAGCACTAACGATCGCATATCAAGAATCTTCCAGCTACTCCGCCACAAATGGGCGTCGTCGCTAGACAAAATGGTATGGAGGTTAACAATCTGCTTCTGTCTCCATTTGCTGCAACAAATTCTTTGAAGGATGCAAGCGGAAGCAGAAGATCTGCTGGTCCTCGTCCTGAGATTCGGCTCTTTGCTGGGAAGGATACGGAAGTAGGACGCGTGATCCTAAGTCCTACCGAGCTTTCACCGGCGGTGGGGCCCTCACTGAACAAGTAAGTTTTGACCTGCGTTCTCTCTGTGACTGATTCTTGTTACTCACTCATCTCTTTTGTAATTCATAGACTCGTAAAAACCACGATTTTTGTTGTCCCCGTTTCGATAGTATTTGCGATATTTTTCTGTGATTTACATTTTCAAATTTGGGGTCGCCATTTACACGTACAAATGTTGACCATGCACATGGGGATTTATACCTAAATTCAGCACTTTATCTAGGTTGAGAAAGGAGCGAGATGATAGGGAAGCGCTGAAATCAAAAAGATCAAGAAATGCACAAGTGAATACAGGTAATTATAGCAGGAAACTTGGTGCTATTCAGTAAAAACCTCATAATTCAGAACCTTCGTATACTGTGAGACTCGCTCACAACTTCGTATTGAACGAAGAAGTGATAAAAGGAGGTTTATGTGAGGAAAACGTTCAAGATGCCATTGTCGCCGAAATATATTGCCTGGTGAGCTGCCTTCACCATATTATATATTTATAATTCTGGAACCAAGTAGTAGCGGAAAGTATCGAGTTTCTTTATAAACAGCTTTTTTGTCAAGCATCGGTTCAGCATTTCAGTGCGGAATGACGCCGATTGTAGAACTAGTCTACAGTATCAAGACAATGCCGAGAATGCGCGAGCCATGGCGTATACTTGTTTCACTTTTGGAGCGGGATTATGGAGAAGCTTTATTGGATACAGCGCGAAAGCGACCAGCTGATGCAGTCGAGAGAAAGTTCGTTTTCTTTGAATTGACAAAGTGACAAATTCTAATTCATCTGATCTGTAGGGATGAACCGCCGTCAAAGGCTAGACCGTTAAGAAACGCAAAGGCGAAGCTGACTCCGCATAGTAAAATCGGGTCACCACTGAACGCAATCCAAGAAGAGGTAAGAAAAGTTCTCTTTTAATTCACATTTGTAAGCTCGTTTATATTCGGTTTTTAGTAGAAGAAAACTGAGCTCGAGCTGATTGTTTTTT